ATTTAACATTACTAAAGAAATGCTTGAATTGTAATTTAAATACAGTCTAAATTCAAATTCTCAATAGGATTCACATTTCATCTCTTTGATTTTTGTCATCCAACAAGTATGTAAACAGATAGTTTGTTTTTATTTTTATTTTTCTTCAAATTCTCAATAAGACAACTTAAGTGCACGCCCAGTGCTTGAGTAGTAAAGGACCGAGTAGAGAAAAATCCCATTTATTTATATCTTTACTCTACCATATGTACATATATATAATAAACCATCATCCAAAACATTTCTCATTAATTTAAGGGTGAATTACATTAACAATTTCTATTGTTTGGAACTCATGTCACTTTGATTCTTAACTTTTTAATTATAACAAATTTAATCCTAAATTTTGGATCTTATTCCAAATAAGGACAATTAAAGATACTATTACTTAATTTCAAAGGCAAAGTTATTAATTTGATAAAATATTAACTAATTTGATAAAAAAAAATATAAAAACAAAAATATTTTTGAATTTAAAAAAATAATTTCTACCCACCAAAGATAAAATTATGTAAAATTAATAAATCTTTTAGACATTTTATTTACCAAATTAATTTTTATTATGTGTTTGGATGATGATCATGTAATGGGTGGTTCACTACTAAAAAAAATACTTTTTGCGACCGCTATAAACCGTCGCAGCAAAAGCAAATAAATAAAGAAAATAGGAAAAATAAAGGTTAAATATAAATTGGAGCTTTTTTTTTTCTTTTGCGACGGCCAAACAAGCAGTCGCAAAAAAATAGTCGCAAAAAGCCAATTTTCTAGTAGTGGTTGTTGGGTTTTAATGTATAATCGATATATTTAATATATTAAATGTTTTTAGTTTTGGATTTTTTTAATTTTTTGATTTAATGAATCGGTTTAATGATGATATCAAAGTTGTTGCCATATTTGACTTTTGAAAAAATAGAAACTAATTTAATGAAAATAAAAACAACCACCTATTACATGATCATCATTCAAACACATAATAAAAATTAATTTGGTAAAATAAATAAATAAATAAATGTCTAAAAGATTTATCAATTTTACATAATTTTATCTTTAGTGGATAGGGAACAAATTTAAAAAATTCAAAATTATTTTTTCAGACATTTATTTTTATCAAATTAATTTATATTTTATCAAATTGGCGTCTTTGCCCTTAAAATTAAGCAATGATATCTTTAATTATCCTTATTTGAAATAAGATTCAGAATTCATGGTCAAATATGTTACAATTGAAAAGTCATTAACCAAAGTGATATAAGGCTCAAACTATAGTGGGGCATTCTTGAGCAAAATGGCCAAATCCTTGGCATTCATAGCATTGGAGTCTTTCAGAGTTTCCTTGTATCATTCCTTTCTCCTTCTTGGCTATAGAATTAATTTTGAGTTTATCTTTGCCTTTAGATTTATGAGAATGAGTAGATTCCAAAAGATTAGGATTCTTTTTCAAAAAAGATTTTTTAAATTGTTTAACAAAAGCAGCCATAATCTTGGAATCTATCTCGCAATCCTCATCAGAATCCTCTACCACTTTATGAGCACTACTATAAGCAATAGTATCTTTTTGTTTCTTTTTGAAATTCCTATGTGCTTCATAAGTTTGAAGGTTTCCAACCAACTGATCCAGCTTGAGGTTGTCAACATCTTGAGCCTCCTCAATAGCCGTAACTTTTGGTTGGAACCGATCGGGCAAGGATCTCAAAATTTTTCCCACAACTTTGGATTCTGGAATTTTTTCACCTAAATTGAAGCTGGAATTTACAATGTCACTCAACTTCGCATAAAATTCATCAAAGGTCTCACTATCTTTCATTGAAAGGTTTTCGAAACTAGATGTGAGCCTTTGAAGTTTTGAACGTTTTTTGAGAAAAGTACACTAAGTTCCATTTGATTAAAAAGAAATTTGGTAGATAGTGAAAGTAAAAGAAAATGAAGTGAAAGAAAATAAATAGAAAAAAATATATATATTTTCTTACAAGTATTTGATTAAGTTGAAAATTTTGTAAGAAAAATATAAAAAAATTTTAAAGTTTAGTTATAGATAATTCATATATTCAATTTTTCTTGTATTTTCTTGTATTTTTTGCAATAAAAAAAAAAATAGTTACAATGCTAATATGGGTTACACAAGAAAATTAGTTTTCTTATACTTTCTACCACTTTCAAGTTAAAGGAACTCATAGAAGTTAATTTTTTTTTTCTTTTTTCTTTCTTTCACTTTCTACCTATTTCATTCTAAACAAACTGAGTCTAAAGATTTTTTTGAAATGCTAAATTGGAGTATTTTGTTTTTGGAGTGTTACATTTGAAAAAAGTACACTAATAAGTTTTTTTTTTTTTTTAAAGTGTTACGTTTAGTAATTTCAACATTATGAAAAAACTCACATTTATCCCTCAACACATAGCACACGCATTTATGCTTGACATTTTATGTAATTTACACTAGAATGAGACCTTTGAACCTATTTAAAAAAAAAAAAAAAACCAAACAATTCTCAAAATCACTATTTAAAATTTATTAATGCTTTACCTTCTTTTAATTTTTATTTATCATGGGAGTGTTTATAACTTCAGCTTAACTTGAGTTCAAAAAAAAATTAAAATAAAACTTTTAATAATTATTGATCAATCCGTTGAAACTAATTTTGTTAATTTTTATAATATTAAATAATTAAGAAAAAGCTGTCTACGGTTAGCCTGACTTTAAAAGAAACAAAAACAACTTTAATGATCCCTTGAATTCAATTTTAAAATGTATCCTACTAATATGAAAACCATTAACCAATCCTATATATTTGTTTTTCTCTCAACCTCATCAAGTAATCCCAATCTCATAAAATAAAATAAAAAACCAAGATCTTTGAAAACTCTAAACAATATAGCAGTCTAGTATAAGAAGTTTTGTGAAAGAAAGTAAAACTCTATACAACCGAGCAATTCAATGCACCATTTATTTTAGAAGAGGTTAATTTTATACTCATTCATAATTCTTTCATCCCTTTTTGCATTTTAATAAATGTTTGAATATCTATTCATTGTATTTTCACTTTGAGCTTTTTGATATGTGAGTAACTACATGTAATATTAAACATATGTATATATCTATATTTAATGTATTTATAAATAATAATATCTATATGTAATGACACACACACACACACATATATATATATATGTATGTATACATTTTGTATGTATATATATTTAATGTCAATTATATATAATATATCATAACCTATTTTCATACAATTATATATTATTTCACAAATTTTATTCTTTGAATCCTTCTTAATTATCTTAACTTTATAAGTTAATCTTCTCTCCATATGTTTATTATTCAAAATATATAAAAATATCACCCAAAAAAAAAAATCTTAATTTTGTGTGTGGGGATGAAACTTTTTAAAAGATTTCTTAATTTATTTTTATTTTTTTCAAATTCATTGAATATATTTGATTTCAGAATATTTTCTTTGTATCAAATCAAACCCTACTTATTGTAGAATTGACGCGCGCGCGCACAGCATATCTGTTGAATGTAATCTATACTATTATAAAGTGCAAAATATTGTCAGGTAATTGAAATCGAGAGTTCTAATTAAAGGTGTTCGTGGTTCGAATTTAGACGGTTTGTAGATTGATGTAGACCCGTCCGCATTAATACAGTTTGGAAAAAAGATAATCCGCAACCGTCCGTAGTGCGATTTGCGATTTGTGCGGATAGGGTTTGTAGATGTGCGGGCGGTTTGCGGTTTACACTTTTTTCTTTAAAAATTAATGTTTGAATTTTTTTTCCATCGAATTTAGGCATCAGATTCATTTTCTATATTTGTGATCATTTGACAACAATTTTCTAATGAGTTTACAAATAAAAATTAAATATCAATGCATTAAATGAAAGTACCCAAAACAAAGAGACCCTACACTAGCATTTTTGCCATGAAAAAAATGTATATCAATGCATTAAAGGTTATATTCAATTAGAATAGTCAGTTCAGTAATCAATAATCAAACTAGAAGCTCCATCAACCACCAGAAAGAAAATTTTATTAAGAAAAAGTTGATGAGTCACCAATAAAAATCATATAAAAAACCAAGTTTAGGACTTAATAATTCTACGGCATTAAAAAAATTAAGAAATACTTAAAAATAAGAATCTTAATATCATAGAGAACATAATGATGCTCCTGTTAAAGTTACAAAGTTGGCATATAAAAATAATAATAACAATAATAATAATTACAGTGCGGGCTGTTTTTGCGGATTGCGGGTTTAACCCGCCCGCAACCCTCAAATTTATCATATTTCAAACCACATCCGCCTACATTATGTTTGCGAAATCGCCCACTTATATATAGGTTGGGCGGTTTGAGCGGTTCGGAGAAACTGTTGCCAACCCTTAAGGACCACCCAACAAAAGCATTTATAGCCTCAAACTTCTTTTCTTTTTATAGCCTTGTTTGAGACCAGCTTTGGGGTGAAATACCTCATTAAAAAATAAAATATGTTAAAATAATTAATAAATTAAAATGTTACATTTAATTCATAATCATTTTATTTTTTACAATTATCAAATTAATTATAAAAAAATAAAAAATAAAAAAAGTCAACTAATTTGTCAAACACAACTAATCAAGTTCAAATAATTAAAAAACTAAATAACTAACTCCACAAATTTGTTGCTTTCACTTACATTTATATGGTGAGTGAATGTTAACTTATAAATTTAGTTTAAAAAAAAAATAGCAACTTTTAAGTACATAACTCATAATCATTTTATTTTTTACAATTATTAAATTAATTATAAAAAAATAAAAAATAAAAAAAGTAAACTAATTTGTCAAACACAACTAATCAAGTTCAAATAATTAAAAAACTAAATAACTAACTCCACAAATATGTTGCTTTCACTTACATTTATATGGTGAGTGAATGGTAACTTATAAATTTAGTTTAAAAAAAATAGCAACTTATAAGTACACAATGGAGCGTTCCTTTGCTTTCCCACTGACAAGATTTTCAATACAATGTTATTAGTTAGAACATGCATAACTTTTAAATTGAGAAATGTTCTATCTCTCAATTTCATCAAATAAATTACGGCACAATCTTTTGCGACGGCACTTTGCAGTCTTTAATAATTTTTGAAATTTCTTAACTTTTTGCGACGGCACTATTTTACCGTGGCTAAAAATATTACTTGAGACAACAAAAAATACCATCGCTAATGGTCTTTTGTTTTTTGCAACGGCAAGAACATTATTTTTGCAACCGTATAGTGCCATCGCAAAAAGTATTAAAAATATGAAAATTTCTTTTTTTTGCGACAATGTACTGCCATCGCAAAAAGTATTAAAAAAATAATAAAATTTCTATTTTTTACGACAATTTAGTGCCGTCGCAAAAAGTAAAACCTGTAGCAAAATTAATAAAAATAATAAAATTTTCTATTTTTTGCGACGATGTAATGCCGTCACAAAAAAGAAAAAAAACATCCTACGATAAAAATATTAAAATTTCTCCATATTAATTGCATAATAATATAAAAATTTCTGTATAAAAATAACAATTTCTCCATAATAAAATATTCTTCCATTCATAATTACACATCAACAAAATTATCCAACTACATAATGTTCCATAATACATGTTTAATGTTTAAATACATGATTTTGTTCATAATTCAAAATAACATAAACCAAAATTAAATGTTTTTCTCATCATTCTCCGTAGATAACAAAAACAAAAGTTGGCCACATTCTCCACAGGCATGCATTCCACAAGCACACTCCTACATGGGAAATATCTGAAAAATAAGAATAAAAATAATTAATGCCAATATAATTATGTGTTAATGTTAATTACAAAAAAATATAAAAATTTAACTACTATAGCATCAAATACAACATTTTTTTTGTTAGTCATCAAATCCCACATGGATAATTAAACATCTCAATCAAGTACAAATATAAAAATTTAACTACTATAGCATCAACTACAAAAAAACATAAAAATTATATCTGAAATCTAGTTCTAACTCCCAACATCAAATACAACATTTTTTTTTGTTAGTCATCAAATCCCACATGGATAATTAAACATCTCAATCAACAATGAGACCAGATGCATTTTTGAGAAAATTAAGCAATGGAAATGAGATATGACACCTTCAAAGAAATGTCAGCCTTCTAGTATCTATACAAAAGTTCATCATCCTTCAATTAATTGGCATATACGCATATATTATGTTTGTACACATAAAAGTATAGATATATCCTAGACTGAGCTATATGCCACACAACAAAATGTAAACCTCTAGACCTATATACAACAGGTATTTTATTCGTGGAGTTCCATAACTATGTTAATTTGTGGTTAAGCAAGCTCCAAATGCTCTTTTGGAAGAATCAAATTTTTATACACTACTCAAAACGGACTTATTAAAAACATAGTTCTTTCTAATGTTGTAACTACAACCCACATACTATAAAATGACATCTAAGGATCCACTGATGAAGTATATATCACCAACAGGATTAAACTGGTTGCAAGTTACTGTGTCAAGGCAAATCCCAACAACAATCAAAAAATTAGCTAATAGATCAACCTGAGAATGAAAAGAATGTGTTTCTTCTGACTCATAATGTGGACACTGATCTTTTACAAAAAAATGAATAAAATGAGTTGAGGCAGTTCCAAACTCATCCGGTTTTCTGAGTACCATAATTAAAGGCCAAACAAGGAGTTGAGGCGAAAAGAGTATAACATTACACAAATGGGTAATTTTTACATAGGGGAGGAATCAAAATAAATTGTCCACATCACTTAATCTACAAGAAACTGCAAGTGCTATTTCTTAAAAAGTACGAACTATTTAATCATCTACCATAATCCAACCATTAACACTCTTCACCATTTAGATTGTTGTGATATCTCAAAGAGGAAGCATTATTACATTACAAAACAAATACACAGAGGAAAAATATTTATAAATACCATCATAGTTACATATTAGAGTCTAGAATTGCACAACAGTAAAACTTCAAAATCCAAAAATCATACTGTTAGCAATGATCTATTGAAGTTATGCATCAACCAAATGAAACTTTTTAGTTTAAAAGTACCCTGCAGGAGGAGGTTGAGGTCTATGAAGCAGGGGTTCAGTAACTTCCACATCCCTTGTTCTAGAACTGCAAATAAAATACAACAATATATCAGTAAGTTGAGAGAGAGTCCTTGGTATGCAAAATTATAATAAGGAATGGGAGTAGGAATACAAGAACATCACACAAAAAACCTCAAATGTCAATACAAACATTAAAGTAAGTCAATTAGCATGTCAGTGAGTCAGTGACTGCAGAAAAACAAGTGACACAGCAAGAAAATTTTCATTTGGCAAATGGCCAACATAACTGGCAAGATTTTGATCAGAAATATGATGGCAACATGACAAAAAAATTCTCTTGATGTCCAAAACCAAACTACAAAAAAAAATGGATGTATTATATAGTTTTGAACAACCTAACTAGTTAACTAACAACAAAACATATCAGAGGTTCAATAGTAAGCCTCTTAGACTCGCAGTAAACATTTCAAGAGTATCTACATATAATGTTTCCTCAAGATAAGCTTGATCAAAAAATTATACATTAGCTACTTCATTCACCACCCATACAACATGCAACCAAGTTATATATAAGTAACTTAACCAATTTAAACAATATTTCACAGTAAAGGGTAGGAAAAGGTAACAACAAAAGATTAATTATTTGGACTCTGCAAGAATAATAATCATATGCTACAATGCTACTAAAAATGCGAATAAAATACTACCAAAATAGCAGTGTAAGTGTAGCTAACTTGAGACTTGGACCATGACAGGTCAAGTACATCATCAAGATGCACTTGGAATGAACAAATTGGTTTTTTTCTGAAAGTGAAAACACAGTCTCTGGCACCATAATGTGATCCAGGGGTAAGAGAGTGATTGAAATGTAGAATCTCATATTATACAAAAAAAAATTAAAAAAAAATTAAAAAATAATTGTGAACTTAGAAAAAAGATGAAATACTCATGTTTCAATTGGTTTCCAAGGAAAAACATGGAAGTGATTGAAATGTAGAATCTCATATTATCTCCTTTTTGGACTTGTGAATATAGTAAAACAGGGGTAAGAGAGTTAGCTATTTTGTAATGACACCAGGTTCAAAGCATGAGGAGAAAATGTCTTAGAATGAAGTGTATTCATAAGCATTTTAATTCAACGGAACAATTCAATTTTATTGTCAAAAAACCCAAGAAGAGCATGAAGTGAAGAGTTTCTCAGCAAACATCATAAGAATAAATAGTCTAGTCCCAAAGATATATATTTGGTCATCACAAGCAAACGAAATGGAATTAATTGACAAATAATTGTTCTCCTCTGAAAAAAAAATCCTTTCAATTGGGAAGGAACAAAATGAATTTCTGCCAATTTGGGAGAAACCCTAATTTTAGAAATTTCTCTATATTTCGTGGCCCCGTTGTGTCATATAAAGAACCCACAAAAAGACTGAAGGACTAGATGCAACATTAAAATTCTAATTTCCCGTTGTGTCATATTGAAGAACCCAGAGAGCCACTAACACTATAGCATAATCAGCTCCCTCTTATATAATACTGTATAGATATATATTCAAAGAGAGTTTACCAGACACGAACAAAGAGATGAAGAAAGCGCAACGCTACCCAAGCTGATATTCAAACCCTTACCAGAGATCGAAACGTACACTGATTGAATCGAATCAAAGACTCGCAAGAAGAAACCCTTCCGTGCCTTCTTTCAAGAAAATCATACTTGAATCTAAGATAGAAAGGCCACAGCTTGAAAATCGACCAACAGAGAGAGGGCAGAGGGTAGCGACCAAAGAGAGGGTCATGATCGGCGCTGCTCATGATTCACTGTGCGAAAGAGGGACACGAAGAGGCATCACCGTTCGAGGGCGTGTAGTCGGCGGCACAAGAGAGCAAGAGGGCAAGAGGGAGAGGAAGAGAAGGCATACCTCTGCCGTGAGAGTGAGAGTGAGAGTGAGAGTGAAGTACAGTCGTCGTTGCAGCCCCCGCTAGTTTGATTAAAAAAATTATATATAACTACACTTATTTGGAAGGGGATTAAAAAATATATATAATTACACTTAATTGAAAAGTGACATATAAAATAAATATTATTATATTTAATTAAATTAAATGTAATTAAAATATTAATTTAATTTTTTTTTATCACACTTCTAATAAAAGTGAAATATTTTCATTTGTCAAAGTGTGATATTTAATTATTTTTATAGTAGTGAATGTTAGTTGTTTGATGCCCTTTGAGTAAGATTTTGATATATAAAAAGTAAGTTTTGTTGTAGTGGTTTTTATTTATTTTTAATTACTAAGGTTGAAAATTTATTTATGGAAAATTTGCTCATAAGTCCTAGTTTTTGAAACGTTGAACCATTTAATCCTAAAAGTTTTCTTATGCTCCATTTAGTCCCATTTTTACATCAATATGATGTGAATGATGTAAATGATCTGATGTTTCATTCTATAATTTCAAAATTTATTGAAATCTGATGAACATTAGATGTTTTTCATCCTATATTTTCAAACATTATTGAAATTTGATGAACATTAGATGTTTGAAATCCAATGTTTGTAACATGACTCTGATGTTATTAACATTGTATCTGATGTTATTAACATTGTAATGGGACCTTTCAGTCTATAAGAAAACTTTTAGGACTAAACAGTACATAAGTTATTAATTTGGGATTTATTGGTGCATCCCCCTTTATTTATTTCATTTTTATTTTAATGAAAAAAAAATTATTATTGTTTTTTTATATGATAGAATTATGGGTAATTTTGGGGGGATTTTTGAAATTGGGAATTTTTTGTTTAAGGGATTGGGGATTGATGATTTGAGATCGTGAGAAACAAAAGGAGGAAAATAAATGGGGGAATTAAAGAGTGGGAAAATGAAATTTTTTTGGTTAAAATAAATTTATTTTTTTGTAGTTAATGAATTTTTTTTATTTTTCATTTTTTTTAATTACTAAGGTTGAAAATTTATTTATGGAAAATTTGCTCATAAGTCCTAGTTTTTGAAACGTTGAACCATTTAGTCCTAAAAGTTTTCTTATGCTCCATTTAGTCCCATTTTTACATCAACATGATGTGAATGATGTAAATGATCTGATGTTTCATTCTATAATTTCAAAATTTATTGAAATCTGATGAACTTTGTTACTAAAAATCATGAACTAATTTTTTGTGGTAGAGGAAAGGGAGCGACAGTGAAGGTGGTGGATAAGAGGTGATGGTCGTGGTGGTGGTGATGGTGGCGGTGGCGGCAAAGGAGATTAGTGATGAAGTTATAGTAGTGGTAGAGGATATGGAGTGGCGATGGTGGATGAGAGGTAATGATAGTAGTAGTGGCAGTAGTGGTGGTGGTCAGAGTTCCACCCATTAATTTAAGTATGGTGTTTGTTTTGAGCTTTCAAATCATAATTCTACATCCATTTTTCAAAACTCAATTCAAAATATAATCATTACTTTTCAAAACTCATAACCAAACACATAATTTAAAACTCTTTTTAAAACTCAATTCAAATCAATTTTTTAAATATTTTAAAAATATTTTAATTTTGTGAGAGACAGATAAAGAAGAGAGATAGAGACAGAGACAGGGTGATAAGGAAGAGAGAGACAAAGTGGTTGCTAAAAGTGTATTTTCCTATAGTGGATCGATAAATCGAGAAGAAGCTCGATAAATAGAGAAGATGAGAGGGAGAGAGTGAGCAAGGCGAACATAGTGAGAGAGAAATAGACAAATACATAAGCAGAGAGAGAGAGAAGAGTGATGAGTGAGAGAGAGAGTAAGAGAGAGACAGGGAGAGAGAGAGATAGACAGAAAAGAGATAGAGAGAGAAAGAGAGAGAAAGATAGAGATAGAGGGAGAGATAGAAAAAGAGAGAGAAACAAGAGATGAGCAAGAGATAAACAAAAAGATAGAGAAATAGAGCAAAAGAGATGAGCGAGAGAGAGACACAGAAAAAGAGAGAGATAGAGAGCATTTTTCAAAACTCAATTCAAAATATAATCATTACTTTTCAAAACTCATAACCAAACACATAATTTAAAACTCTTTTCAAAACTCAATTCAAATCAATTTTTTAAATATTTTAAAAATATTTTAATTTTGTGAGAGACAGATAAAGAAGAGAGATAGAGACAGAGACAGAGTGATGAGGAAGAGAGAGACAAAGTGGTTGCTAAAAGTGTATTTTCCTATAGAAGATAGATAAATCGAGAAGAAGCTCGATAAATAGAGAAAATGAGAGGGAGAGAGTGAGCAAGACGAATATAATGAGGGAGAAATACACAAATAGACAAGCATACAGAGAGAGAAATGAGTGATGAGTGAGAGAGAGTAAGAGTGAGAGAGAGGAGAGAGAGAGAGAAAGAGAGAGAGAGAGAGATAGAGATAGAGGGAGAGATAGAAAAAGAGAGAGAAACAAGAGATGAGCAAGAGATAAACAAAAAGATAGAGAAATAGAGCAAAAGAGATGAGCGAGAGAGAGACACAGAAAAAGAGAGAGACGGAGAGAGAAGAGAGATGAGCGAGAGAGACAGAGAGAGAAGACAGATGAGAGAGATAGACGAGAGACACAGAGAGAAAATGAGAGAGAGAAAGAAGAGTGATGAGTGAAAGAGATAAAGAGAAGAGAGAGAGAGAGAAAGAGAGACAGGAAGATGAAAAAATGAATGAAAAGAGAAATGTTATATCAAAAGAGTAAGACGACATCATTTTTTTTTAATTTTTTTTGCAATAGAAAAATACCGTTGCATTTATTCAAACCATTTTGTGACTGTATATATATGAAGCCGTCTCAAAACCACAATCACTATGCTAGGTTAGAGTTTTTCAAAAACTCTCTTGAGAAAATTATATTTTTCTTGTTTTTCGTGTTATATTGTTTTTACTGAATTTTTTTAATATTTTAATTAATTTTTTAAATTTTTAGACACACTTAACATAAATACACTTAAAAAGTAAAAAAATTGTAAAAAAAAAATCTTTTAAAAATTCACTAAATTTTTAAAAATATTTTTCATAATTTTTTTATTTTTTAGATACATCTAAGTAAGGTGCATCTAAAAAAAATATTTAAAATTTTAAAAATATTCACTAAAAACAAAAAAAAAACACGAAAGTCGTTTTTTTGCGAAGGCAGAAAATGCCGTCGCGAAAAAGGAGAGTATTTGCGACGGCATAATTTGCTGTCTCAAAAAAGCAGAGTATTTACGACAGCAGAAAATACCGTCTCAAAAAAAGAGAGTATTTGCGACGGCAGAAAATACCGTCGCAAATACTCTCTTTTTTTGAGATAGCAAACGGTGTCGTCGCAAATGCTCTGCTTTTTTGAGACAGCAAATGGTGCCGTCACAAATACTCTGCTTTTTTGAAACGGCATTTTCTGCCGGCACAAAAAGTGACTTTTTGAGACGGCAAGTATGTCGTCGCAAATAGTTCCATCTTTTAAGCTCACTTTTCTTGTAGTGTATGTTCATGTAGTTTAATCGGAGATGATTGTGCAAATCAATAACACATAAGGCCTATTTTAATGGGCATAAAGATAATTTCATAATTTGGACATCGTAAATTATACAACTAAAAACACATTAAGTTGTACAGTTTAAGTTGTTCAAAATAATAAAAAAAATAAGTATTTTGTCGTATAATTTAAGTTGCTCAAATTCTGAAATAACATTATTTTTTTTATCAAATTAATCTTCAATGGTTATTGATTTGTATAATCAAAAATAATAATAATAATTTAGAGGATAAAAGTGAATTTAACCCTATTGACAAAGCATATCAAATGTGCTATATACTAGATCTAGTTGATAATTTCTTGTTCATAGACTGCCAACAATTTGTGACGACAAGAAAATGATCCAATTATGTGTATCCCATTCAATTTATCAAAAAATTGGAAGGAAATTCTTGGGATACATACAACTTCATTATGGTTAAACCAATCGTGTTATGAAAAGTTTTATGAGTATGATATGATAATTCAACTTTGTTAGATAAGTAGAGACAAGGAATGACTTACTCAATGTGAGTTGTGATTTTTTATTAATCAGAATGCCACATAAATAATGTCACATAATATTTCTAGACTATTTAATAATTTTTCCCAAAATATGAGGCCTTGGTGAATTAGAGGATTTGGGCCATCCCTTGTATTCATTTTTCCACCCAATTTCCTTCCAATTTGAGGTCATTCAAAATTCTATCACAGCACTCAAACATTGAATGGCTAGCATTTCCTGTCAATCAATCTTAATAATACAGGTGTTTTTTTTATTTTTTATTTTTTATTTTTATTTTTTTTGGGGGGGGAGGAGGGACACAAGTGACTTATTCATTTTTGTGAAAAAATTATCAAAAAATTCTTTTGAAAATAAATCAATAATATTTACATTTCATTTCTAGCCTCTCACACTTTTTTTTTTTTTTTTTTTGTCTTTTAGGAGTTTTTTAGGAAGTGTTAGATTAGTATACTTTTTTATTTTTTGTGAAAAAATGTGAAATGTAAATTGAGATTGGAGTGATGTGATAAAGAAGTGGTATAATCTAAATAAGAAGTGATATGACCCAAATAAAATAATATGCTAAAATAGCACATGCCAAACAAATCCTTAATCTCTCACAAGGTGGTGTAACTGTGTGTAAGGCTAACATCATTATGGTGGTATTATTCGCACTCCCTTTTTTATATTTAAAAAAATTTCTAATTTATTCTTAAGGTAATTTTTGCACAAATATAAAGTCGTTCACTTAGAGATTGTATAGCACTACTTTATAGTGTAAGATTACATGTTCAAATCATATAAAAAGAAATTTGATACTTTTAATTATATACGACATTGTTGAACTAATTGGGATAAGCTCCCTTCCATGTCTTTATTTCTCCATACCTCTCTACTTTTTTTTGTGGCCTCAAGATGGGATAATTCTATTTTCACACGCTATTTAATTTCTGCATTCATTGACATACTTATACATTTGTTTACCTTTT